TGCAGAACAATGTGTGTGTGTGTCTGACGTTTTCGAGCACTCGATTTTGAAATATTTACGCGAAGTTTGGTGGATTCCCGCATGCGCGCGCGACGACGCGCGCGCGTGGATTTCGTCCCGTCTGTTGCCAGGGATCCTTGCGACATCGCGCGCGCAGAGGCGCCCGAATGATCCCGACGCGCGCGAGAGACGTCCATGTGGTAGCATTTCACGAAAATCATGCAGAATGTACGGTATTGCTCAGAACCTGCAAGAGCGCGAGCGCAAACTGTTTCTGACAATTCGTTACAAAACAATGTTTTTTGATATGGCGCCGCTCCTGGTGCGCTCCGCGCGCCAGGGAGGGGGGCCCAGCGCGGACCCGAGAAATCCGCGCGGAGCGCAAAAAGTTTATGTCCACTGTCGACCCGCATGCAAAGGATGGGCAGCCTTCACAAGGGTACCTTGGCCTCCTTGCCTCCTCGGTCCGTCCTTGGCCACTCTCGTTGGCCGCGCCCCGCTCGAAAGGCTTTGAGATGGGCGCCCACGGCCCCTGCGTCCTTGTCGCGCATCCTTGCTGTACGGGTTGGCAGCATCGACCCCCTCTCCTTGCGGCACTTGCCGAGCCGCATCGATCCGTGAGGGCCCTGGGGCCCGAGACGCGTGGCATCGCTCGGACGTGTGCATTTTTCCTTCGGCGAGGACCATCGAGGAGCATCTTTGATCACTTGGCGGAAAAAAACACGCACGAAACCGAAAAAAACACAGGGAATGGACGTCCGAGCGATGGCAAGCAGGGCCGGTCCCTGCGCCGGCCAGATCCGTCGGCAGCGAGGGCCTCTCGGCGTCAGCCCGGCGCACCCGCCGCCAACAATGGCGCGCAGCCGCGCCCGCGTCCTGGTGGCCGCCGCGGCGCTCGGCGCCGCTGCCTGCGCCGGCCTCGGCGCCGTCGCCTTCGTCGCAGGCCCGCGGGCGGGGCTCGGCCACGCGCCGAGGGCGGCGGCCCCGCTCGGACGTGTGCATGTTTCCTTTGGCGAGGACCATCGAGGAGCACCCTGATCATTGCGCGGGGAAAAAAACACCACGCACGAAACCGAAAAAAACGCAGGAAATGGGCGTCTGAGCGATGGCCAGGAGGGGGGTTGGGAGGAGGGGGGCGGCCTCTTAGAAGCACCACGCTTCTGAGGAGGCGCGGGCCTTCCCTATGGGTGTAAGGCTGGCGCCTTCTCAGGAGCAGCCTCCCTCTAAGAAGCCTTCCCCCCTCCCCGAAATTACCGCCAGGGGGCGGGGTTCCGAGATCCGACGCAGCGTCGCGTCGTTTTTTCGCGCAGGGCGACTTCGCCCTGCGCCGTGAGAGAGCACGACGGGCAGTAGAATGGGTCGATACTTGCCTGGTTGCTGGCGCCGCGATCTTTTCGCAACGGGCGATTTTGCCCTGCTCGGGGCCCCAGCACCCTCACGGGTCGATCTGGCTCCAGGAACGCCGCAGAAAGAGTGCAGAAAGATGGGGCCGATAGGGCTCCAGCAGAGTTTGGTTCGCGATGTTGCAAGTTCGTCGTGACGTCGGATCCCAGGTGGCAGCGCAGGCCCTGCCAGCGGCTCGACCGAAAGAACGGAAATCACGCCGAGGGGCCTTTCGCCGCTCTCGCGGCCGAGCCAGAGGCTCGGCAGCACGGTTCACCCAGAGGGAAGCGGGCCCCGAGGTTGTTCGCCGTTCTCGGGCTCTCCGCCCCCCCCCCCCGTAGTTTGGGGGCTCCTCCTCATCCTCATCCTCCTCCTCCTCCTCCTCCTCAGGCGTGGGCTTAGGCCGTGGGAGACATTTCCCTGCGGTGCGCTTTTGCACTGCATCACTGCACTGCCCGCCCCAGGCTCGTGCGCGCCCGCGCACGAGTCGACACTCAACATACCTGCAGGGCGATCTCGCTCACCCGCCTGGCATAGGGCCCGCCGTCGTGCTCGCGCGCAGGCCAGGCGATTTCTGAAGATAGTCAAGCTGCGGGAATTACTCAATCGACATCACGGGTCTCAAGAGCCTCACATGAGAAGTGCCCCCCCCGCCGCGGACGGGAATGGCGCCCGACGAGGTAGAAGACCAGAAGTCCAGAAGGAGCCGAGATGGGCATGCATGGCGACACGTCAGTGCGGCTTCGAGGGCAACTACGCCAGCAACGATAATTGCTATCAGTGCGGTCGCGACCGTCGTGGTGTACCTGATCCAAGTTTTGTGCCACGGAAGCGACCGCCATCACGGAGACCATCCTCTCGTCCACGTGAGGGAGGAAAGGACAAGGATAAGAAACCTGATGGCGACAGCAGTGGAGCATCCAGTCCCGCTGATGGAGTCGCTCAGGCACGCCGAGCTTTGGCAGCCCTACGGAAGTGTGGCCTGGGAGATGACGCCCCAGTCGTACAGCAAGCTCGACGTGATTTGCAAGTGGCCGAGGAGCGCGAACAAGCTCATCGGACACCAGACGACATGCTTCGTAGATCCTTGGACAGGCACACAGCCAAATCCAAAGAGGTCGAGGAGCTCAACCAAGCAGTTGCTGAGTTGGAGATCAAGCTTGGTGACAAAAAGTCGGCGCTCGTTCAGGCCAACACGGAGCTGCAGAACATCCGGTCTGAGGTGCACCTGGCTAGGACCGCTGTACTCGCCGCCACCGCCCAGCCCGTGGGATCAGATATACCGTCGGTGCAGGAAGCCATGGGTCGCCTACAGACGGTGGTGGCAGGGGCTTCAGCTGCGATACGTGCAGGCAATTCTCCAACGATGCTTCAGACACTACAGGATCAGCTTGCACAGTTGCAGTCTGCAGTCCAAGCCAGTGTTACAGCCCCAGGCACTCCGCAGGCACACCCATGGGCACCCCTCCTTGAGATGCAGGAGGCCCAAGACGCCGTTGATGCAGAGGCCGAGATGGAAGACGAAGACAGCGAGTAAGGCAGCTCTTTCCTTTGTATACTTTACGATGCCACGACTGGTCAACAATCGGGTTTGGTCATTGGACGACCTGCCTTTGTCTGAACTACCTGTGGTGGCACCCACTCCCGTCGGCACGCACGGCTCGACTCCTCAGCTCTCTGGGGCAATTGGCGGCGAGTCGTACCGACCTTCGGGACCTAGTCCTGTCGGCACGCACGGCTCGACGTTCTCGCCTCGGGGGGCGCTTGGGAGCGGGTCGTACCGACCTTCGGGAGGACAGCGAGCTGATACTACTGACACTACTACTACTGCTCCCAGTGGAGGGAGTGGCGTGAGGCCACCTCATCCACGGGCAGATCAAACGACATATCGTACGGCTGATACTGGGGGCGGTACGAGGATATCAAGACTTGCAGGTGATAGACATCGTGTCACAACATCTGCTCGACGCGCGCCCAGAAGGAGAAAAAGGAAGCCGCTGGCACTTGTGACTTACAACGCCAACGGCTGGACACGTCTCAGAGGTTTTCTTGAAGAAGGCGCCGCTGGAGCTCTCATTGATGCATCTCAGGAGCTTCATGTTCGAGGGGACCAGCGGCTACAGGCAGAAGAATGGTGCCAACGTAACGGGTGGAAGGCTTTCATCAGTGATTGTAAGACTGGCCCTACGGGTCAGCCGATGGCTGGAGTGGGCTTGTTTGTACGACACCATGTTGGCACGACTTTCTTGGACGCCCTTCCTGGAGCACGGGATCATGCACTCGTTAAGTCGTGGTGCGTGGCAGTTTACGTTCACACGGGTCATCGAGGAGGGTTTGTGGCAGGTAGTATCTATCTTGAGCAAGGTCCGGGTCTCACGGGTGACAACATACCTCGGCTCGAGCAGCTGGGCAAGGCGCTAAGATACTATCGAGCTCCATACGTCATTGGTGGCGATTGGAACGTTTCCCCCCAGGTGCTGAGCGACAGTGCTTTTGTGGAACGCATCGACGGCCACCTCATCGTTGCTCCGCTTGGATCTCATCGAGTGGCGGCAAATGGCACGTATACTTTTCTGGACTACTGGCTCGCCAGCGATGCCCTTGCGGCGGAGATGTCAGATGCTCGACGCGTTGAAGATTATCCGCCTCGCCCTCACTTTCCAATGAGAGTTCAAGTAGGCCCTCGGCCTCGAGCTCGCCAACTAGTGCAGCTGCAGGGCCCGCGTATTTGGCCTGGTAAGCCAGCTCGCAAGCCAATTATTTTTGAATATCCGGACGATGAAGATGAAGACGCTACCCCCTTGGGTGACTCTGGCATCGATTGGGTGGAAAGGATGCGGCTGGATGCTCAACTCGGGCCTGGTGACAATAGGTCGAGAGGAGGGCGTTTAGATTTCTTATGCCAACAGTTGTACGCAGGGGCCGAGAAGGAGTTAGCTCCGTTGTTTGACTGCTCAGACGACGACAAGTATCATGGTCGCGGACGTCAGGTCACCTATCGCAAGACCACGGCGGGAGGTGCTCTGGGCAGTCAGCAACCTGCAGGTACTACGCATTCTCGTGCAGTTCGGGCTCTACAGCATCGACTGGAAGACCTCACGCACGTAGTGGCCAAGCATGGGTGCACTCCTTTGCCGCAGCATAACATGATATGGCAACCACTTGTTGACTTCGTTGGTGGTCAGGGTCGACTGCGGCGACTTACATCGGCGCTTGGCGCCAATTTGGTTCAGGAGGTAGTCTACTACATCACGTGCTTCTTCGCGCAGCCGTCCATGTACCACGTGACCTTCCTCCGCACCCTCTGCGTCACCCTGTCCAATCTTGCTGCTGCTGAAGAGCGGCGGCTTGGCCAGGCACGAAGTCAAGGGTTGGTTAAATGGCTCAGGGGTTGCCTGAGCAGCCGCTCCAAGCCTGCACATGGCTGGACGAAACCTAGAGGGTGGCAGTTGTCCCAGGTTCACACTCCCCTGGGTCCTTCGAGTCATGCGGACGATGTGGCCAACGTTCAGCGAGAATTCTGGGAAGGCATATGGGACGGTGGGTCTTCGCCAGCCTCACTGGAAGAGCTGCAGCATGACCTGGCGCAGCTTCGTGATTTGGGCCCTCGGCTTCCACCCATGGGCATCCAGGAGCTACGCAAGGCCGCCAAGGCCTTTCCTGCCAGGACTGCTGTAGGTGCTGACTTATGGAGGCCCAAGCACTGGGCCCTGGTATCGAATGGGGCTTTATCGTTCTTGGGATATATGTTTCATTTATGCGAGGCATGGTCTTCCTGGCCTCGATATCTCCAGCATATACAGATTGTGTTGCTTCGGAAACCTGCTGGGGGATATCGGCATCGCTCTGCTGTGTTCTTTGTATCGAGTTTGGGCCAAAGCTCGCATTGGACATGTACGAAGATGGGCCAATGGGTTAGGTCGACCATATATTGCGCTTGGCACGGGCAGGGCGACCACGGACGTTGCCGCACGCGCGCTGTTGCATGGCGAAGCTCACCCACCGCAGAAGAAGGCGCAGTGGGATGACACTGTATGCTTACACGCCATCGTTGACATTGAGAAGTGTTTTGACAGGGTTCCCTGGGCCGTCATCACTCAGGCTGCCATCAAGCACGGTTTCCCAGGGGCCCTGGTGGCCCTAGCCTTACGCATGTACACGTACGAGCGACGACTAGCCTGGGATGGGGTTTTCTCGGAGCCTGTGCATGCGTCTAGGGGAGTACTTCCAGGATGTAGCATGGCTATGTTCATATTACAGCTGGTTCTGTTATCGCCTGTTGATGCGTTGTATGGGAGCACGGAGCACAGTGATCGCGCGCTGCACGTGTACGCAGACGACCTGACGGTGCAGATACAAGCTAAGGTAGACTGTATATTCAAGCACGCATGTTATGTGTTGGAAGGGTTGGTGGATGTACTCGGCTCCGTTGATTTGGCGCCCGCCAAGCGCAAGATGACCGTGACTTGCGCTCACCCCACTATTGCCCAACGAGTTTGTCGTGCTCTAGGCAAGTTTGGCTATAGATATGTGTCGGCCCTTGAAGTGCTGGGCATAGAGGTTACCTCAGGACGAGCATTGCGCTTTCAGAGGATTCGTGCACGTGTGCGTAAGATGGGGGCTCGCTATCCCAGATTGCGTCGTGTTCGTAAGGCAGGGGCTCTCACGGGTAGGTTTGCCAAGGCTGCGGTGCCTGCGGCACTCAACTACGGTGTGGGAGTACACGGTGCCCCTCCTGCAGTTGTCCACTCCATGCGTAAGGCTATGCACAGTGTATGGTATGAACCAGGTCGTGCGGGTTCGTCGTGGATATCATCTTTCTTGCATGGCGGGGGTCCGCAGGACCCCCAGATCGCAGCCTGGGTGGGCCCTATTTATCAGTGGTGTTTATTGTGTTGGGATAGATCACAGCACGCGCTTCTTCAGCAGGCCTGGCGTCGTCAGGCCCCAGTCATCTACGCGTCCAAGCAACCATGGGGCTCAGCGTCGGGACCCGCGGGGGCCACGCTGCTTGCCTTTCGTTCGCTCAAGTGGGTATCGTCCTCTGCTTTCGCCGTTCGAACTGATCAGGGGGATATTCTGGACCTTCGGGAAGCGTCTCCTCTTGCCGTACGAGACTTGGATCGTGCTGCTGCTGTGCGACGATTGTGGTCGGATTGGGCCTCCCGGGCTGATCGTGATACCTCGTGCACTTTGGACCCCAAGAGCCCCGCTGGGTATTGGCTGGAGCCCATAGTGTCTCTCTTGGGTAAGGCTAGGCAGGACGAGAACCCCGAAAAGCCCTACCTACTATCGTACCAATCTGCAGGTACCCTGAGGGCCATGGTCACGGGAGGCTTATGGACACCAGCTAGACGATTTACGTGTGGATACGTTGATGCCGCTCAGTGCCCTTTGTGCCCCGAGGTTGCAGCTGACGCCTTTCACATCCCGTGGACGTGTACCTGCAATGAGGAGGGGCGCAACACTTTGTATGATGATCATGATAAGTCTGTGCTTCCTCACCCGACCCCAACATCCTGGTGTTGGGCTCGTGGCCTACTGCCACGTACTGTATTTCCAGCCATTCCACAGAGGGATGATTCATGCACGTGGCATTCGTTGTACGGGGACTGTCAGGTAATTACTGGGCATGTGTTTTCTGACGGCGCTTGTCGCAAATATCACTACTGGCCAGAGGCCTCTCGGGCTGGATGGGGTTTCGTTCAAGTCGGGGGCCATCGTATTATTGTGTGCGTTTATGGGGCCTTACCTGGCCCTGTGCAAACGTCCCCGAGGGCTGAGCTGTATGCGGTTGTTCAGATTTTGAGAGTTGCGATGCTGCCGATCACCATTTACACTGATTACATGGACCTGCCTGAAGGCCTTTCTCGTGGGCCATCATGGGGGTGCTCTCCTAGGCGCCCAAACAGTGATCTGTGGTGTGAAATATGGCGCAGGATAGAGGATCTTGGAGGACTGAGTTCTGAGCTTCAGATTTTCCATGTCCCAGGGCATCAGAAGGGCATGTCTTTTGAGGCCCGTGGGAACCGTTGGGCTGATTTTGCGGCCACCCAGGGCCGAGATTTGCATGCGGTCTCAGATCCTGACGCCTTCTTTATGAAACGGCTGTATACGGCCACACGTAAGACTCTCACCTGGATGGCCCGCGCGCATACCAAGTATATGTCGGAAACGGTTGCCCCAGGTCAGGATCGTTTTGAGCAACGGCGTAAGGCACGTGCTTTGGCCGCCGCTCGCGCTGTCGCCCCGTCTGACCCTGGGCTCCTGCATGTGTTTCATCCGTGCGCCAATGGATGGCGTTGCGCCTCATGCTCCAAGACCTGTCGGTCCGACAAGCAGCGTAGGATATCCGCGTGTCGGCGCTGCCTCGCGAAGATATCTCTTTGCGCGAGGATCCTTCGCGCGGCGGGTGCTGACTCTTGTAGGGTCGGATCGCAGGAATGTGAGCTGAGCCTGTCCACCCCTGCTAGCACGTCCGTTTTGTCGGAGGGCGGTGGGGGGAGGCCGCGGACGGTGGGGAGGAGCACTCTTCAGCAGGACCGCGCCCGCATGGCCTCGCCACATCGCAGGAATGTCCGAGCCAGGCAGGGCGAAGTGGCTATACCCACAGATTTGTCAGAGGACCTTCTGGCATCAGGAGGCTATGCAGATTTGGATTCCATGATCGCTGAGGAAGCGGCGTTTCACGATGACTCGGGGATGGGGGCTGAGTCGGGACCGTCGTTTACGTCGTGGGACTGGGGGACGCCTGATCACGAGGTTGATCGAGCCCAGGCTTCGCAGCCTCGAGCTCCCATCGTGTCGCAAGGTGTGTCGACTTCCACCTCCTCCTCCTCCGCTGCTCCTCCTGCTGCGACTGCGAGTCCTGCTCCTGCTCGTGCTCGTGCTCGCTCCTCTTCCCCTGTCCTGCGAATCGTTCGCGCTCGTTTTTCTGCCCACCCCCCTCTGGACAGAGGGAGAGGGGTGAACTTTGCCCCTGCGGGCGACGACGAACTGCAAGACGCAGTCCGAGCAGCACAGGCGCGCCCCCCCCCTGCTGGTGGGGAACCCGCGCCGAAGTCTCGTCGTCTCGGGCCTCGTGGAGGCTCACGTCTCCCTAGCTCTAGTCCTCTCTCCCCCCTCCCTATCTCTGGGGACGTTGGCCCCAGGCAGGCTAGGGGGCATGAGGTGTTTGTGTCGCCAGGCAAAGTAGTCATCTGCCTCTCGTGCGGGGCTATCTCGACCGGGGGTGCGTCGGCATTACTGGATGCCTGCCCCCCACCTCCGTGTAGTAAGCGTGGAGCCTCTCACATCCACAGGTTCAACACGAACCGTCACCCTTCGGACTTGCGGCGTCGTGAGAACATCCAAGGGCAGAGAAGGCTCCAGGTTTCTGATCCCGAGGTGCATTGGCTGCAACTCGGATGATTAACTCGTTAATCGTTATAAGAGCTTCTGCTCATCTGCGCTCCGGCCCCCTCCCTGCCGTGATTATTTGATGGGCGTGTGGGTGGGGGTCTCCACGAGCGCTGGGCCTGGGCCAACGGCTCGGGCCCGCTTTCGAGTGGCCGTTTGGCGCGCCGCGCGACGGATCCCTCTTCAGCCTGCGTACTCCTCCTCCTCCTCCTCCTCCTCCTCCTCCTCCTCCTCCTCCTCCTCCTCCTCCTCCTCCTCCTCCTCCTCCCCCTTCCTCATCTCCTCCTCTCCTCCTCCTCCTCCCTCCTCCTCCTCCTCCTCCTCCTCCTCCTCCCTCCTCCTCCTCCTCCTTCCTCCTCCCTCCTCCTCCTCCTCATCCCCTCCTCCTCCTCCTCCTCCTCCTCCTCCTCCTCCTCCTCCTCCTCCTCCTCCTCCTCCTCCCCCTCAACTTCCCCCTCCTCCCCTTCCTCCCCCTTCTCCTCCTCCGCCTCCTCCTCCTCCTCCTCCTCCTCCTCCCCTCCTCCTCCTCCTCCTCCTCCTCCTCCTCCTCCCCCTCCCCTCCCCTCCTCCTCCTCCTCCTCCTCCTCCTCCTCCTCCTCCTCCTCCTCCTCCTCCTCCTCATCCTCCTCCTCCTCCTCCTCCTCCTCCTCATCCTCCTCCTCCTCCTCCTCCTCCTCCTCTCAGGTACCGTCAAATAAAGTCGTTCAGTCGGGATGAGGTGGTATTGGGGGAAGGCCCCGCAGTCCGGAGCCCGTTTTTCCCGCCTCTCTTCGCGCCGACACGTGCAGCATGGTCTTCCGGGGGCCCGCGCTCAAGGATCTCGTGTCGGCGCTGGGAGCCCCATCTTCGCACCCCTTCCCAGTCACGGGAAGCGCGGCCCGAGAGAGCCGCGCAGGCCTCCGAGAGCGGCTATGTCGCTTCGGGTGCCTTCGAAAAGTCGAAAGTTCCAGTAGCCCACGTCGCAAAACAAGGGAGGCATGGCGTCGGAGGCCTGCGGACACGCGTCGGCGGACGACGGCGACGGTGGATGACTCGTCGTCGTGGTCGTCTGGAAGGAAATGGGAGGCGGCGGAGGAGGGGAGGGGGACGAGGGCGGCGGAGGGCGGCGGATTTCGGACTCGGAGTGGGTTCCAGGCAGCGGCTGCGCGCTTGGACCTCGCGAGGCCCAGGCTCGGACTCGTGCCGAGCGCCATGCTGCATGCCAGGTGCACGTGGAAGGGCCAGAACGCGATGCCTCCAGCTTATTTGTTCAGATGCTGCAGGGAGCCCATAGGCCAACCAGACCACCACGCGCACAGCCGTGCTGATCGGCACGATGTGTCTTGTGGGAGTCGTCGAGGGGGCAGCGCGCGAGCAGGCAGTCCGTGAACTGCAGGTGCGCGGCTGCTGGAGCCCAGGTGGCGGACGACCTTGGAGCGGATCGTGCAGTTCGCGGCGGCGGACATGGACCTGCTCTCCTTCGGCGCCGACCCGAACGTGGCCAGGACGCGCGTCGCGCAAGGCCGACTGACTGCAGGCGGTGTAGCAGCAGATAGACCGCACTCATGTCTATGCCCTTGGGTGGGTGCAGGTGCGGCCGGTGTTGTGCTGGCATCTGCGCGCACCCGCACGGTATATGCCCAGCACGCGCCCAGCATGTGCGAGCCCTTTTGGTCGGATGTCCTATTGTGCGCTCGCGCGCCCCGGCACGTGCAGGATCATGTGCCTCGTGTGTTGGTGCTTCCGTTGCTTGCACATGCCTGAACATGCCGCATGCGTGCGAGCATCGCAGATTGGTTAGCGGCACCTGCACGCACCTGCGGGCCCGCACCGTGCACGCACATGCTCGGAGGCGGACGTCCGCACGCGTTCGCACACGCCGACGCGCGTGCCCACGCATGCCCACGGAGCTGTTTAGGAGCCCTCGAATCAGGAGGGGAGGAAACACACAGACACAATTACTCGTCGACTCCCCAGAAAATATGGGAAAATATGGGAAGTGGTGGGGAAAACAAAAACCCAGAAAATATGCGGAAATATGGTGAATATTCTTATTCGTGTGTATTTATTTGTGTGTCCCAGGGCCCCTTCATAGAAGTATCTGCAATGCCGCGTCCTGCGGCCGCGAGTGGCTTCAGCGCTACATATGCGGGGTGAATTTGCACGCTTGGCTCGCCCACTAGTGGCGGGTGCAGTTCTTCGCCCATGGGCCACGTCTATGCGCCTCGCCCTCTTGTCGTCGGAAATCAGGGATCAGACGGAGGGGAACGGAGCAGAAGGAGGAGGGGGACATGGAGAAGACGAGGAGGAGCATGCACTCGCAACCCGCGCATTGGTCGGCATGGTGACAAAAAGACTCCTGGGTCAGGGAGAGGAGGAGGAGGCGGAGGAGGGAGAGGAAGAGGAGGAGGAGGACGACGAGGGGGAGCAGGGGGAGGCCCGTCTCGCGTGAAATATCCTCAGAATGACGGGCCCGCCGTCTACAGCAGGACCGCTCGCCTGCGTCGGCTACCGGCGAATTCGGCCTGCGCGAACGCTGCGCGTATACCTGTGCGGAGCACGCGCAGGGCGTGCAAGAACGTCGGGGCCGGCGTCTGCCTGCACACGCGTCGATGGTAGGTAGCAGGCGGTCTTGCGTAGTTCTTGCCTGGCCGAGCTGTAAGCCGTCGCAGGCGAAGAGGCCCCTTGAGGGCACGGCGGAGTGACCATAATTATGACCATAAGCGACTTGCGTTAATCAGCTGCATCACGCTGCCATTTGGAAAGAGAGAGAGAGAGAGAGGGAACAAAAAAAAAGATGCGTCGATGGTATCCATATTGAAGAGACTGTTTGGGGGGATGTCTGGGTGTCCGGGGAGGCAATATGGTATACGATTCTTTGAGCGTGGTGCATCCCCAGCACCTTGACATGTGCGTCGATGTGCAGTCATTACGGCCGGCGCGCGTGCACGGGCATGTCCACGCGACCGTCTGGCATGCACGCGCATGTGCGGCCCCGTCCGGACTTCAAAACGAAAGTGGCATTATAGAAATCAGCATTGTTTGCAAGAGTTCGGTATGAATTTGAATATGTTCTGCGCGCGTTCACTATCCACGGAAATTTCAACTAGCTCTTGGCGATGCGCCTTCACAACGACCTCGGCGAGCGGCAGCCTGGTGTTGGCAGTTCATCGCCGCGAACACCCGCAGGCAAGGCCGCCCACAAGGCGGAGCCCATCCGTGTGGGATCACAGGCCCGGCGCGACGGGGGGCCAGAGGCGCGGAGCTGATTGCACCGCGCGTGCGTGCCCTTTTTCCCGCCCGGGCCCCGCGCCCAGGGTGAAGTCGGGCGTGTCCCTTTACAGGACGGATATTCAACAATTGACAAAAATAGTATGATGATGTTTCTTGTGTATGTTTGATTTTTTGGGGGGCAACGTTTGCCTATTTTATATGTTTCGCCCAAACTCCTGTAGGGGGACATGCCCGACCTAAGCCCAGGGTGCGAGGACGGCGCTGCCGACCTTTTTGGTGGCGAACCACGGCGGCGCGCGAAGGAAGAGCTAGGAAGAAGGACGGAGGGGGCGGGGGGGAGCGGGCCGCGAAGCAGCGGCGGCGGCGGGGGCAGCGGCCGTGGGGCCGCGTGGCGCGAGGAGGAGGAGGAGGAGGAGGAGGAGGAGGAGGAGGAGGACGAAGAGGAGGAGGAGGAGGAGGAGGAGCGGAGAGCAGCAAACGGCGGCGCAGGAGAAGGAGGGCAAGGAGCAGCGAGAGGCGAGAGCAGGGGGCGGAGCGCGAGGATGGCGGCTGCGGCGAACGTGGCGACGAGGACGGCCTGAGGACGACGACGCGGCCGCGGCCACGCCGGCGGCGAGCGCTGGGCGGCCTGACGACGATGGGCGTCGGCGCGGGAGCCCCGCCCTGACCTTCCAGAGAGCTATTCTGTTAGCACTGGAGGCCTAACAACCTAAAGAACTACACGAAACAGTTTAAAACCAAGACGTAGGATAGCTTTGGGATAGGTTTTGAGGTCGGGTGCTATTTTTCAGCCCTCCTGGACGGTCAGGGCGACACGAATGCCCCGGGAGGCTCTGCGAGGCTGGCCGCGCCCGCCGGGCAGCCGGGCGCCGCGGCGCCCGCGCGCCACCTCGGCGCCGCCGCGGGGCTGCGCGCGGGCGCGGGCGCCCCCGCCGCGGCGGCGGCGGCGAGCGCGTTCTCCGGCGCCACGCCGCCGCCTCGGAGCATTCGGTCGGGGCCGATGGTCGTCAGGGCGTGTGCGGCGGGTTCGCGCCGTGGCGGGCGCGCGGGCGGCTCCGGCGCGCGCGTTCGAGGTTGGAGGCCCCTCGTGGCCCCCAGAAGCGGCCCGTCGTCCAGCGGCCCGGCGTCAACGGAAGGGCCCATCGTTCAACTTTGAACGAGCCCTGCGGTGCCAGGATAGGGCGTTGCCAGAACTACCCTTGGCGCAAGGTGCCCCCAGGATTCTCGGGGTGGCCCAGGCGGCCTCCAGGGCACCCCTCACAAGGCCCAGAGGGCTACAAAATGGAGCGAAAAGCGGGGGGCACCTTGGGCTAGGGCCTAGGGGCACTTCTAGCAACACCCGACAGGAACCAACGCCAGGGTCGACACGACGCGAACTTGCCGTGCTAGCCCAATGTGTGTGCGTGGGTGTGTGGGTGTGTGGGTGTGTGGGTGTGTGGGTGTGTGGATGTGTGGATGTGTGGGCGGCCGGGCGGCCGGGCGGCCAGGCGGCCGGGCGGGCGGGCGGGCGGGCCGGGCGGCCGCGCGCGTGTGTGTGTTCCTTCGTTCAGCTCCACCGATAGCACGCAGCCTACTTCGGCCCTCGCCTGCGCCGTATATTGCGGGGCTTCGGTGGACAACCACGCGTTGGCGCTATCACACGTTGTGTGGATCATCGACAGGGGCAATGATGGAGAGGAAGGCTCCGAGTAGGGCGTTCCACAAAGGGCCTCTCAGGGACCTTCGGGGGGACAAGCCTCGGTTTCGAAGTTTCTAGTGTTTTTGAACGTTTTCGGCGGTTTTCCAGCCTCGGGGTGTTTTCCAGCAGCTGCGCCTCGCCGAAGGCGTTCCGGGGGTGTCCGAATCGTCCCGAACGGCCACTGGGAACCCAAGCTATGACCCGAAAACAGAACATCGACGATCAGAAGGGGACGCAGTGACCTTTATCGCCCAATGATCGCCTATAAGGAACCCCATAGCCCATCCCTCCCAGACCGTTCGGATTCGCTATCGGGTGTCTATCAGCGATGCAATACCAATTCCAGGTCGATATTCCCACCCTGAACTGGTTCCTTACGTGACGTTCCCCTTCTGGGTGGGGAGTGGCGATGGTGCCCGATCCCAACCACATGGGGCAAATCTCATTCGCTTGGCACCGATCGCAACCAGTCGTGGTCGGCCGTGTCGTTCAATACAAGGCTCGGTTTTGAAGGGGTTGCTAATACCGTTTCAGGATACAAGGTTCGACCTCGGCGAACACTTTACAACTCGACTCGAACGAGCTACGAATGTGTCGATTTAAATGCAAAGTCAAACATTAAGTAATATCTAGAACTGCAGCTAATGATTGGAATCATGGCGAGGTCTACGTAATGAGTGCACCAAGTATCGGAATCATAGCTGGAAAATGTATTGTGTCGAATGCCCGAAATGTTGCTAACTATTGGAGCTGATGACAAGAATCACGAACATTAGAATTGACGCAAATTCCATTGAACTGTGTCTAGTTTTACTTCATGATCGACAGCGTCGATGTGCATTGGAAGCGAATGTTCTTGCTTTGGAGCGCTGCATGTTGCTTTCGAAACGAATGCTATTGTTTCTGCAACGGATGGGATTGCTTCGTGTAGTTCGCTGCTGGGACCCTGGCAAATCATAGCAATTCCGGCCACTTCTCACTAATGCTCTTCAAACAGTGCTTGCGCGTAGCGGTGCTTCTTCGTTTTCCTTAGGAATGGGGCCTGGCCGTCGGGCTCGCGGCTATGCGGTCGCCGTCGCCGCCCCGCCGCCGCCCGTCCTCGGGGCTTGCCCGTCGCTATGGCGGCCACGTGGTCGGCGTCGCCGCTTCGTCGCCGCCCGTCGCCTGGGCTTGCGGGCCACTCTGGCCGCCACGTGGCCGCTTCGCCGCTGCCCGCCGCCGCGTCGCCGCCCGCTTCGAGTTGCTTGCTGTTGCTTAGCAGCGGTTGGCATTGATGTGCATTGCTCTGCATGGTCGTGCGTTGCTTCGCATTGCCTTACATTGCCTTGCGTCATGGGAGTGCAATCGCATTCCATTCCGCTACAATGCATTAACGTACACTGCGTTGAATTGCTATGCCAAGATGTGCATTGGTTTGCATTGAAGTCTAGTGTGTTGCATTGGTTTGCTTTGCAGTGCAATGAAGTCTAGTGTGTTGCATTGGTTTGCTTTGCATTGCAATCGCATTTCTCTACATTGCTCGGCATTGCGTTGCATTGCGTTGCGTTGGCTTGCTCGGTATTGTTTTGCATTGCTTTGCATTGTATTTTTTGCACCGCATGGATTGCACCATCTGGATTGCACTGGCGAGTACGTAAAACTATGGATAAAAGTTATAGCGTTGGCGAAGTGTGGCTAAATGTTGAGCTATGGTCAGCGCTTGGACGTGTGACTAAGTATGATTATGTTGGGACTGAGGATGAGTATTGGAAAGATGCCTAAGTCTGTCTAGCTATTGGAACTGTAGCTACTTCCGAGAGGCATCCCGCAAGCCTCTCAGAAGTCATTCGGGGGCCTCTCAGAAGCATCCCAGAGGCCTCTCAGACGCCTCTCAGAGACATCTCACAAGCCCTTCACGTTAGGAGCGTATCGGAAGTCTGGAGCCTCTCAGAAGTCTGGCAGAGGCCTCTTAGGAAGTTCCCAGAGGCCTCTCAGAAGCATACCAGAGGCCTTTGAGAAGCCTCCCAGAGGCGTCTCAGAAGCCTGCCACGGGCGTGTCAGAAGCCTTTTTCTGGAGCATCTCGGAAGCCTCGCAGGAGCCTCCCACAGGCCTCCCATGGTCTTCTCAGAAGCCCACCCGATGGCCCCGAGACCCGAAAAAAGTAGCCACCGGAGGCAGAGGCAGAGGCAGAGGAAAAATGCAGAGACAGAGAAAAATACGACGCAGGAGATCTGAGTACATGGAGGGCGATCCGAAAACATCGATCAACTCCAGACAATGTCGATCCTCGACCTTCCCTCGACGGCGCCGACCACCACCACCTCCACGACGACCACGGTCCCGACCACGCCCACGAGGCCCGCGACGACGACCGCGACGACCGCGACGCCGACCACGGCGACCACGGCGACGCCGACCGCGGCGACGACGACCGCGGCGACGACGACGGCGACGGCGCGAGCGGCCGGCCGGCCGGGCGGCGGTCCTTCGGGGAGACGGGCGCGGTCCGGCCGAGGCTGCTGCCGTCCTTGCTGCTGAGCGCCCGCGCCACGGTGCGCCCGCGGGCCGGGGGGGGCCTCCGGCCTCGCCCTCGCGCGCGGGCGGGTGCTGCCAGGAGGGCCCTTTGGCCCAGGGTGTCAAGCAGTGGCGAGGCGTCCTGGCGTGCCTATAGTCCTGCCAAGCAATGTTCTAAGAACAATTTTGTGGCTCCCACGAGATGTTGTTAGAACCTTCTGGCTGGGGCTGTCCTGTTTTGACATCGGGCGCACATCAAGCAGTGGCGAAGCGTCCTGTCGGGGAAACGTAAGACTCGAGGAAGCCGGAACTCAGGTTAGCCGACGGTGTTTGGCGAGCGCGTCCTGGATTTTGACGGTCCAGTTTTCGTGGGGTGTCTGCAGCGGGAGCTCGCGTCAAATTTCAGACTGGGCCTCGTCATTTTTATGATGGCCCCGTCAGGCCAGCGCCTCATTGTCTCACACGCCTCTTCACCCCCAGCAAACGGGGGTCGGCGGGTCATTCTTTCTTTGCTCCTCCTTTCCCGCGCCCCTCCGACCCCTTCTTCCCGCCTCGTCCCGACACCCCTGCTGCTGCTTCCCCCCTCGCCCAGCTTCCGACGAAAACGACGACGACGACGACGACGACGATGACCACGACGGCGATGGCGATGGCGATGGCGACGGCGACGGCGACGGCGATGGCGAAGGCGACGGCGGATGCGGCGATGTCGACGGCGACTGCGACAGCCACGGCTACGGCCTCCAGACCCCTGGGCCTCTCCCGGGGTGCGTTCTGGACAGCAGTTCACAGGGAACCAGGCCGTTGCAGCCAGAAGCCCCCCAGGGGCCCAAGAGCGACCAAGCGCGCCGAACCTGCATTCGAAGAAGACCAAAAAGACATACACTTTTGGCGCTCCGCGCGGACTTCTTGGATCCGCGCTGGGGCCCCCCTGGCGGCGCCTCCGACGCCGCCCCTGGCGCGCTCTCTGCGCGCCAGGGAAGGGGGGCCCGGCGCGGCTCCACGACATCCGCGCGGACCGTCCAAAGGTTATGCTTATGCTGTTTTTCGTCCTCTACCTGGCATCGCTCGGACGTGTGCGTGTTTTTTTCTCGGCGAGGACCATCGAGGAGCATCCTTGATCATTCGGCGAAAAAACCACGCACGAAGCCGAACAAAACGCAGCAAATGGACGTCCGAGCGATGGCCAGTCTATGGATCCCCAATCCTCAGATCTCGTCGCCCTCGCCTTGCTCGTCCTCCTCGCCAGCGCCGCCGCCGAGGGCCACCGGCGGCCGGTCGCCGCCCCGGGCCCCCGCCGCGCGAGGTCAGCGTCTGCGCCGCGGTGGCGCGGCGCGCCAAGGCCCCCGTGTCGGAGTACGGAGCGCCGAGCGGTGTGCCCAGGGGGGGGTCCACAAGGTCAGCTCCTCTGCCTCCTCCTCGTCCTCCTCCTCCTCCTCCTCCTCCTCCTCCTCCTCCTCCTCCTCCTCCTCCTCCTCCTCCTCCTCCTCCTCCTCCTGCTCTTACGGCACCGTGCCGTGAGTAGGCGGCGCCAGGGGGTAGTCCGTCGCGCGCCCGCGTGCGCGGCGGGAGACCTTCCTGAAGCGCTGCGCTCCCCTCCCCCGTGCCGAGGAGCAAGAGTTCATACTGTCGGTTGTACGTAAGGGTTACTTTTCGCTGGAGTGACCTTTGGGGTGGGCATAGTGGGGTCCCCAGATGGCCCTGCGCGATACGATGGCAGCGGCTTGCGCGCTCCAGCTCGGCCTCCCCGCGGCCCCCGTGGGTCGCGCACCAAAGGTCGCTCCTGCCGAGGGCCACTCTGACGTGTAGCCGACGACGGTCGGACCGAGGTATAAGGTCGAGGTCGGCTCGCGCAGGATAGCCCAGGGTTCTTCGTGTTTGTGGAATGTGTGTTGTGCATCCTGGGGGAGAGCACCCTCGAATGTTCTTCAGCTTTGCCGGCGGAGGACCTCCTGCTTTTGAGGGATGTTCTTCTGTCCAAGGCCGGGCCAGGCGTTCCAAGATTCCTCTCGCTTCGCGGGGTGCACGTCCGAGGCACGTACAGACTGGGCGCTGGGTGGTTTGCCCTGCTCGTCTGCCGCGAAGTTCTGCCGTTTCGTTTTGCCCGCCCCGGGGCGCTGGCCAGCGCCACGAATGGCGGATGCCCCCCTCCCTCCCCTCAGCGGCGGAACGAGCATGCCGATATCCACGAGGGAAATGAGCATGTACCGCGTGTCAGACCAAGGCAACGCCAAATTCAAATTCCAGTGGTTTCTTAGGGCTGTTTGGGCGTTTCTTCGAGGCCTCTTGGAGGCTTCTTGGGAGCCCCATGAAGGCCTCGAGGGGGCCTCTTTCGGGCCTCTTGGGCTTTCTTGGGGCGCCATTGCGCCGTCCGGCCCCTTCGGAGGCCGGCCTGGGGGCCTTTCGGGGCCGCCTTGTGGTTCTCTTGGGGCATCTTGGGACCGGTTTTGCGACTCATGTGGCTGGAGGCCCATGGCATGTCAGCACCAAGGTGGCAGGAGAGAGCCATTGTGAGTTGATCGAAAGGGCCACTGATCACGGATAGCCGCAGACTTTTCAACGCATTCATGCGTCACGAGTCTCTTGAGTTCAGGCTTCGAAGTGCGAGGGCAGGAAAAGGTTTGAGCGCCGCCATGCAAAAGTTGCTAGAGTCTGGAGCCACCACTTGTTGCGTGAACGGCCTAGCGCAATTAGCAAACCCTCTCTCCAAACTTGGCAGCAGGGCTCGAGTGCTATTTTGGCAGTAATTACACAATCACGGCTTCAGACGGCAGTATAAATACGATGAGAAGTTCGAATCGGCTAAGAAGCGTTCAAAGCGGAACGTTGAAGCTCACAAGTCAGATGACAACGATTTTGATATTACCCCCGAGCTATTCATCATCTCACAGGATGAGGAGGCCAACCAGGTGAACAAGACACGAGTGACGCAAGAAACGCAGCAGCTCGCATCGCAATAGGACTGAACAGATGTCTCGGGCATGTGGGTTCAGGAACCCGGGCATGGCTCGAATCAGTCCTACGCTCGCCCCCGTTGCCATCTCGCTTCCCCGCCGACGGCGGGGGTTCTCGTAGATTCACAAGGCACGGCCGAGGCCACTACGCATACGCATACTGGAACCAGTGCGCACAGCAGCCACGATGTCCTTTGTCTTCCGGGCGTGAGGCGCCCTTCGCCCGCCGAGGGCGGAAGCCTGCAGCGCCGCACAGGCGGAGAGGTAGTCACACCACCGCCACGAACGAGAAGCGACTGCGAGTCGGAGAGGTCACTCCCTGTGTTTGGGGCCCTCCTGGGAGCCTCCTGGGAGCCTGGGACGCCTTGGAGCGTCGGAGGCTCAAAAAGACGAGAGCCCCCCCAAAAAAAAAAACATTCAACACACAGCGAGTGGAAACCAATGACTTTGACATATTGGCACTCTCTTGGGACGCCTTTGGGAGCCCCCTCGGGGCGTCGCGCGGGTCTCTCGAGCAGTATTTGGGGCCTCCTCGGCTGTCTTGGAGAGATCGTTCGGCGATTCGGGGCTCTTGGACCGTGTGGAGGGCCTCTTGGGGCTCTCTTGGCCCGTCTAGGGGCCGCCGTGGCTCCAAAAAGGTCACGCGCCACCACGCGACGCGGCCCAGAGGGCACGTGGGGAGCCCAAGACGCTTCAGCGATTTGGGGTCCGGGCCTCCGCGCGGACCTCCGAAAGTTTATGTTTTTTGCAGGTGTGGTCCTCCTAGCCACTGCCAGCGAGGCACTCTGCGCAGCGACCCGTCGATCTCCGCCCCGGAGGTCCTCGCACGCGAGCCCTCGTCGTCTCCACTGCTCGAGGGGCTCTCAACGGGGACCGCTTGAGCCGAAAGCACGCGGAAAAGCGTGGGAAACAGCGCTCCGGTCTCTCGAGGGCCGCCTGGAGGACGTCCTGGGCCCCCCCTGGGAGTCCTCTCGGGAGTTGTCAGGCGCGTCGTTGGGGCTGCCGAAGGCGCCTGGCGGCAGCATGGTGTGCCACCTTGGCGGCCTCGGTGGCCCTCCGAAGCCGTCGTCCTCCTCCTCCTCCTCCTCCTCCTCCTCCTCCTCCTCCTCGTCCTCCTCCTCCTCCTCCTCCTCCCCCTCCTCCTCTTCCTCCTCATGCTCCTCCTCCTCCTCCTCTCCTCCTCCTCCTCCTCTCCTCCTCCTCCTCCTCCTCCTCCTCCTCCTCCTCCTCCTCCTCCTCCCCCTCCTCCCCCTCCTCCCCCTCCTCGTCCCCCTCCTCCCAGCGACGCGCCGCGCCTGGCCGCCGCCGCCCGGGACGGGCTGGCGGCGAGCTCCGCCTGTGCGCGAGGCAGCGGGGCCGGCATCGCTCGGACGTGTGCATTTGTCCATCGGCGAGGGCCCTCGAGAAGCATCCTTGATCATCTGGCGAGAAAGCCACGCACGAGACCGAAAAAAAGCACAGGGAATGGACGTCAGAGCGATGGCCAGCTGCCAGACAGCGCTTGGCACTCGACCGCGCCTCCACGTGCCAGGGGGGCGCGGCGGCAGAGTGAGGGCCTTCTTGGACGAGGGCGACGAGAAGGCCCCCGGATGCCCCCAGAGGCCCACGAAGCACCAGAGACCTGGCATCGTTCGGACATGTGCATTTTTTCTTCGGCGAGGACCATCGAGGAGCATCTTTGATCATTTGGCGAAAAAAACTCCCACGAAACCGAAAAAAAACATACAAAAAATGGACGTCCGAGCAATGGCGAGGAGAGGCCCGAAGCCGAAGGTTCGGCCTGTCGTCGAGGCTCCAGAGGAGCCGCAGGGCAGAGCCCAGCTCGACCCGCTCGATCCGACTCGACCTCGGTTCCGGCCAGCACGGTCCGATCCTGTGCTCCGGCGCTCCGATACGGCCCGATGCTCCTCCTCCTCCTCCTCCTCCTCCTCCTCCTCCTCCTCCTCCTTCTCCTCCTCCTCCTCCTCCTCCTCCCCTCCCCCTCCTCCTCCTCCTCCTCCTCCTCCTCCTCCTCCTCCTCCTCTCCTCCTCCTCTTCCTCCTCCTCCTCGTCCTCCTCCTCCTCCTCCTCCTCCTCCTCCTCCTCCTCCTCTCCTCCTCCTCCTCCTCCTCCTCCCCCTCCTCCCCCTCCTCCCCCTCCTCCTCCCTCCTCCTCCTCCTCCTCCTCCTCCTCCTCCTCCTCCCCCCCCTCCTCCTCCTCATCATCATCATCAGCATCATCAGCATCATCAGCATCATCATCCATCATCATCATCATCATCATCATCATCATCAGCATCATCATCATCATCATCATCAGCATCATCATCATCATCATCATCATCATCATCATCATCATCATCATCATCATCATCATCATCATCATCATCATCATCACATCATCATCATCATCATAATCATCATCATCATCATCATCATCATCATCATCATCATCATCATCATCATCATCATCATCATGGCCGCGCTTTGCATCCTGTCGCGGCCGATGTTCGATCCGACTTCGCTTCCCTGCCGAGGCGGCCCGATGTCCTAATTACCTGCAGGGCGAGCCGATCCGATCCCCCGAGATTCGATGCTGATCGATCCTTTGGGGCCGTGCCACAGGCAGCGTGTCGCTCCTGGGGGCCTCCGGGCCTCGTGCGGGGCGCTCTGTGGAGGCCGGTGGGGGCCTCCCTGGAAATCTTGGGGGAGGGCACCTCGGGGCCAGGGGCAGTCTAGCAGCACCCGCATCCTGGCTCGATGGGGAAGGGGGGGGGCCGAGGCGTGGTTTTGAATTCGAGACACCAGTATGTGAGTTCAAGGAACCCAGTTTCTGAAGTCAATGATACCGGAGAAAAGCCCAATCATAATCTTTTTAGGGCTATAGGGCTATAGGCAGATAGAGCTATAGGGTTACAAGATTATAGGGCGATTGGGCTATAGGGCTATAGGGCTATGCACCCGGGCGTGCCGCCGAAATCGGCGCCCCACCTCACCTGACCACATGAATCCGCCAGGACCCCTGCAGAGGCAGGCTCTGAGTGGGGAAACACGAGACAGCTTCGTGAACTCGAGAGCCAGTCACTCGGAGCCTGGCTCGATTGGGGGACGGGAGGGGGGGCCGAGGCGTGCGCAACTTCCAGGAGATGACGCTGGGCTTCACCTCCGACATCGCCAGGAACAACCTCGGGGAGCCGCCGGCTCGGAGCCCCGCCCCTCTCGGCCTTGGCGCCACGTCGGCCATGTGCTCTGGGCCTCCCGGATGGGGTCGGATTACATCGCCGCATCGGCGGCGCATCGCCGATGCGTTGCCGCTGCGGCTCGCTGTGGAGCCCGATGTTCTCCTCGCCGACGTCGCCGACGCATCGGCGATGTACCGCCGATGCATCGGCGATGTACCGCCGATGTATCGCCGACGCGGCGCGATCCTCCGACCCCATCGACTGCGACCCCATCGAGGAGGCCTCTGTGCGCATGCTCTCGCGGCGAGGCCCGTGGAGGAGCCTCTCGGGTCACCGTCCGACCCAGGGAGACGCACGAAACCAACAACTGCGCGGGGAAGGGACGTCCGAGCGATGGCAGGCCGGAGAGAAAGGGGCGTGCTCCCGGCCCTCCGCCGCCTCTGGCGTTTTCGGAGGTCTATGGGGGGGGGTCTCGGGGGTACACTCGGCCACACGCAGAGGGGGGGAAGGGGCAGGGGGGAGGGCTTCAGGGCTTCTTACAAGCACGCCTGCTTCTCAGAAGGCGCGGGCCTCGTCTGCGGACGCAGGGCCGGCGCCGTCTCAGGAGCAGCCTCCTTGTACGAAGGCTCCCCCCCTCCCCCCTATACCCCCTTTGTGCGCGCTGCCAGTACAAGCTTGGGGAAGGAGTCCAGGGAGAGGCAGGTTGAGGGTGAAGGTGGAGGGTTTTCTCCGAAGGGCTTAGGCGACCCGGGACCCCTTCTCCTCCTCCTCCTCCTCCTCCTCCTCCTCCTCCTCCTCCTCCTCCTCCTCCTCCTCCTCCTCCTCCTCCTCCTCCTCCTCCTCCTCCTCGGGTCGCCTACGGCCCCGGGGGAAACCGTGCAGATGGAGGAGAGGCTGAAGGGAGAGAAGGGGGGACTCGGACCCCCCCCCGCCGCACGCGCCGTCTCCCCCTCCTCCTCCTCCTCCTCCTCCTCCTCCTCTCCTCCTCCTCCTCCTCCTCCTCCTCCTCCTCCTCCTCCTCTCCTCCTCCTCCTCCTCCTCCTCCTCCTCCTCCTCCTCCTCCTCCTCCTCCTCCTCCTCCTCCTCCTCCTCCTCCTCCTCCTCCTCCTCCTCCCTCCTCCTCCTCCTCCTCCTCCTCCTCCTCCTCCTCCTCCTCCTCCTCCTCCTCCTCCCGCCCGCCGCCGCCCGCCCGCCCGCCCGCCCGCCCCGCCCGCCCGCCCGCCCGCCCGCCCGCCCGCCCGCCCGCCCGCCCGCTCTCTGCCTGCTCTCTCCTCTCCCCTCCCCCCGCCCCCCCCTCCTTGGGCCAGGCGCGGTGTGCAGCACGGCGTGCGCGGGGGAGCGCCACCCCGATGCTCGGGCCGAACGAATGGGGGGGATAGGGAAGGGGGGGGTACGAAATCTTGGCATCGCTCGGACGTGTGCATTTTTCCTTCGGCGAGGACCATCGAGGAGCATCCTCGACCATTTGGCGAAAAAACCACACGCACGAAACCGAAAAAAGCACAGGGAATGGACGTCTGGGCGATGGCGAGAATGGGGGGGATAGGGAAGGGGGAGGGTACGAAGTCTACTGCGCGCAGCAGGTTTCGGCCCCGCCGCCGGGCCCATCCCTCGATGCATGGGCGCCTCCCAGCGCTCGGGGGTCCCCAAACGGGGTGGACCGTGCGGTGAGTCGGCGGGGATTCGGCGGTGAGTCGGTGGGGTTTTGGGACTCGAGTTCCTCTCCGAGGACGTCTCGGGCGACAGGGGCCTCCGGGGTCCCAAGACCGTGCGGTGACGGACCGTGCGGTGAGGTCTTGGGGAATTTCGAGATCACCGCACGGTCCGTCACCGCACCGTTTCGGGACTCCCAAGGCGCCCGGAGGCGCCGGGAAAATAAGCTGCGTGAGCTGATTCTCTACCCCACCCTTTGCTATCCCCCCATTTCGTTCCCCCCGAGATGCCCGGGGGCCCCTCCCAAGCGGGGATCGAAGAACAAAAAACGGCAGAAACATAAACTTTTGGCGGTCCGCGCGGGTTTCCTGGATCTGCGCTGGGGCCTCCTGGCGGCGCCTCCAGCGCCGCCCCAGGCGCGCTCCGCGCTCCAGGGAGGGGGGTCTAGCGCAGATCAAGGAAATTCGCGCGGACCGCCGAAAGTTCATGTTTATGCCGTTTTTTTTGCCTCTGGGGGAAGGCGCGGAGCCGTCGGGCGTTCCCCGGGCCAGGACGCGAGACAGGGAGAGCGAGGACGCGGGACAGGGAGAAGGAAGGCGGAGGGAGTTATCGGAGGGGCAGGGATGCAGGAGCGGGGGGAGGGGCAGGAAGGTCGGAGGAGGGCGGGAGGAGTGTGGAAAGAGGAGGAGGAGGAGGAGCACGAGGAGGAGGAGGGGGAGGAGGAGGAGGAGGAGGAGGAGGAGGAGGAAGAGGAAGAGGAGGAGGAGGAGGAGGAGGAGGAGGAGGAGAAGGAGGACCAGAGCAAACCCAGGATACATCAGCAATGCTGTGAAGCCCCCCCCCGTCCCAAGCGCCCCTTTCACAAGACCGTACCTAAAGGACACCCCTTCGCATGATAAAAAGGTTGCGGGTGGGGGGGAATGGATGCAGCGATCAGTCTGCGATTGGCGTCGGATCGGAGTCGCGAACTCTCGACCTAACGATATCGATCTGCCCCAGTCCGACCATGAAATCAATCGGTCGCACTCTCGATACACATACAGGCGTGTGTATCTCTTTCTCTCTTTCTCTCTCTCTCTCTCTCTCTCTCTCTCTCTATTTCTCTCTCTCTCTCTCTCTCTCTCTTCTCTCCTCTCTCTCTCTCTCTCTCGCTCGCTCTCTCTCTCTCTCTCGCTCTCTCTCTCTCTCTCTCTCTCTCTCTCTCTCTCTCTCTATATATATATATATATGTCTCTCTCTCTCTCTCTCTCCCAGACAGGCCTTCGACCCACCCCACCACCGACCCTAGGCTGTGCGTATGAAGCTCATTGGGTGTTCGCTGGGATATCGTGGGGGCCTCTTGGGGGCCTCTTGGAGGCAGTTTTGAAGCCTCTTGGGCCGTTTTGGGGGCTCTTGGGGCATCTTTTGGGCCTCTGGGGGACGTCTTAGGGCCTTGGGGGGCCTCTTGTTGGGGCCTCTTGGGGCAGAAGGCTCAGATGTTCGATTCGTGTTCCCTTTTGGGGGGCCCCTTTGGGGCCCGTCTTGAGGCCCTCTTGAGCCGTCTTGGGCGCCTCTTGAGCCGTCGTGGGGCGCTCTTCCGCCGTCCTGGGGCCCTCTTAGAGGCTCGTTTGCCGTCTTGGGGTGGTCGTGTAGGCCTCTCCAGCGTCTGAAAGGAGAGAGAAAGGAAAACAAAACAAAAAAACGATAACGCCAAAATGCTTCAAAGACACAAGGAAAATCAATGAGTTGTGCCTCTTGGGAGGCCTCTTGGGGCGTCTCGGAGGCCTTTTGGGCCATCTTGAGGCCATCTTGGGTATCGGGGCGGGCCGCTGCCTGTAACCCTCATGGGCGCCCCCCGGGGGATCTGGGGGGGTCCCAGAGCTCCCGAGACGGCCTGGGCCCGCCCCGAAACGGGCCACGACATGCTAAGGGGGTCCCAAGAGGGCCCAAGACGGTCCCAAGAGGCCCCAAAGACGTCCAAGATGCCGTCAAGACGGCCGACGAGGACTCCAACGCGCTCCAGAACGAACTCAAGAGGCTCCCCGAGAGGGCCCTGGGAGACAAAATGAATTAATTGTCTGATGGTTTTTGAAGGATTTGGGCGTTCTCGCTTTTCCCGCTTCCCAGCGCTCCCTCACGGCCTCGGAGGCCCTTCAGATCGCTCCAAGACGGCCCACGAGGCCCCGAAGAGGGTCCCAAGACGGCCCAGGAGGCTCCCCAGACAACCCAAGCGTGCCCCAAGAGCGCCCCAAGAGGGGGCCCAGAGGGGGACCGCGAGCCGATATTTCGAGGTCTCTGGCCCTAGAGGACCCCCGTAGGCCCCTGGAGGCCACCAAGATGCTCCCACGAAGCCTTGTGAGGCCCTAGAGAGGCTCCCAGGAAGCCCCAAGAGGCCCCCAAGGGGCCCCCAGGAAACGCGCAAGAGGCCCCCCAACACACCCCAACAAATCATGTCCCCAGAAAGCTTTCCGGGGACATGGTTCACCATGGGCCCGAGAGTATTTGGAGGCTCCGAAGTACCATCGCGCTACCGGAGAGCTGTCTGGGAAGTTGACTGGAAACATGATTGATCGCCTTCTCGCAGCCCTCCGCTGATTGTTTCGCACAAAGTTGCCCCAAGTGCCCTCTTGAAACGATAACGACGAAGACGAAACGACGGCGACGACGACGACGACGACGACGATGACGACGACGACGGCGCGCCCCAAGAGGCGACGACGACATTATGACGACGACGACTACGGCACGCCCCAGCAGGCTCCCCCAGACGCCACCGAAACCCATGTTCCCAGAAGGCCTTCTGGGAACCCGATTCATCAGGCCCCCGCCCCCCTACGCAACCATCTTCCCCGAAAGCCTTCGGGAATGCGGATTGACATTCATGGACTTCTCAGCGTTATGGGCACATCACTTCCCGTTCATATCATCTGCGGTCCACTACTTTAGTGGAGCAATGAACTCGTCAATGCGTGGGGCCTGCCTGCTAGAACCTGAGCACTTCGCGCGATGGTTCCAGTATGTGTGTATGTATATGGATATACCTATACGACCACCCTTCGGGTGATAAGGAGGTTCGGGGGGGAGGAACCAACGTCTCACTCGATCTGTCTCACTATCGATCTCACTATCGGTCTCGCTCGATCGATCTCACTCGATCGATCTCACAATCGATCTCACTCGATCTATTTCACTCGATCGATCTCGCAATGGATCTGACTATCGATCTCGCTCGATCGAACTATCGGTCTCAATATCGATCTCACAATCGATCTCACATTCGGTCTCACTACTCACTATCGATATCACAACCGATCTCACAATCAACGTCATCATGATCATCATCATTAACATCATCGTCATCAGCATCATCATCACCATC